CTAGTGACTGGTGGAGTAATCATGTAATAATTCCTTATGACTAGATTTTGTATATAATTTTATATATTGAAGTGGACTTAAGATAAGACTTAGACTTAGACTTCCTTTATTGTCATTGTACAAGAAACACAAGGTGAATCTTGACAACGAAATGTGGATTACTTGATAAAATAAGAATAACTATAGTGTTGCTATAGGCCCACACAGATTTGTTTGACATTTTTGTGCTTCGTAATTTTTGTACCTTGGCTCCAAAAAGGTTGAAAAACACTGCTCTAACCCCTCCTTTAGGAAGTACCACACCCACCTGCTGCAGTTCGATGGGGAGGGCGGCTGGCGCTTTGAGCAGCTGGACTCGGCCACGCGTCTGTCCCTGACGGAGGAGAAGCAGCGGCTGGAGGCGCAGCTGGCCGGCATCCCCGAGATGCAGAGCCGGCTCAACGAGCTCTGCTCCATCCTGGGGGACGACTCCGTCCTCCGCACCGCCCAGGAGTAACCCCCCCCCCCCCGGGTACCCCCCCAGGGAGTTCAGAGGAGGCCTCCCCCTGCTAACACCCCGATTAGCCTCCAAACAGCTAGCTAAAGCCGGCGTCGATCTGTTAGAATTTGGCTAAAATCCCTCATTTTAGCATAGCATGTTAATTACTGATTAATTACTATGTTAACTACTTTTTGTTTAAGTCTCCAGCTCTTCTCCCCCTAAATTTGTAATTAACATAGATTATTTTATAGCGTACTATGCTAAAATGAGTCACTTTAGCATAGTATGCTACATAATCTATGTTGATTACTGATTGTTTTATTCTGTTTAGAACTCTACTTTTACTCTCTACCTTCTAAAGGGGTGGAACAAAGAAAGAAAAAGAGAGAGTCTGTGGGCATAAAAAGTAGAGTTCTAATAAGAGTAAAAGAATCAGTAATTAACATGGATTTTCCATGGATTTTCCATCAGTAATTAACATGGATTATGTGATAGCATACTATGCTAAAATTAGTCATTTTAGCATAGTATGCTACATAATCTGTTGATTACTGATTGTTTTATTCTTTTTAGAACTCTACTTTTTGTTAAAGTCTCTGGCTGTGCCCCCCCTAAATGTGTGGAACAAAGAAAGAGAAAGAGAGAGTTCTAAAAAGAATAAAACTATCCGTAATTAACATGGATTATGTGTTAGCATACGCTCTGCAGCATCCTGGGGGACGACTCCGTCCTCCACACCGCCCAGGAGTGACCCCCCCCCCCCCAGGCCCCCCCAGGGAGTTCAGAGGAGGCCCCCCCGATTAGCTAGCTAGCTAAAGCCGGCGTACTCCGTGGGATGTTTCCATCTGTTAGAATCTGGCTAAAATGACTCATTTTAGCATAGTATGCTATCACATAACTCTCACAGCTAGCTAGCTCACAGAGTCTGTGAGCTAGCTAGCTGTTCGGAGGCTAATCGGGGTGTTAGTAGGGGGGAGGTCTCCTCTGAGCGCCCAGGAGTGACCCCCCCCCCCGGTCCCCCCCCGGGGGTTCAGAGGAGCCCCCCCCCCCCCCGCTAACACCCCGATTAGCATCCAAACAGCTAGCTAGCTAAAGCCGGCGTACTCCGTGGGATGTTTCTGTTAGCATTTGGCTAAAATGACTCATTTTAGCATAGTATTTTAGCATAGTATGCATAGTATGCTAACACATAACATAATCTAAGTTAATTACTGATTGTTTTACTGATTGCTAAGTTAATTACTGATTTTTAAAACTCTAGTTTTACTTTCTACTTTCTAAAGGGGTGGAACAAGGAAATAAAAAGAGAGAGTCTGTGGAATAGAATAAAACAATCAGTAATTAACATGGATTATGTGATAGCATACCATGCTAAAATGACTCATTTTAGCATAGTATGCTACATAATCTATGTTAATTATTGATGAATTGCTATGTTAACTACTTAGGTGTGGAACAAAGAAAGAAAAAGAGAGAAAGAGACAGTCTGTGGGCACAAAAAGTAGAGTTAGACTTAGCCAAATTCTAACACATCGTAGCTCGTAGCTGCAGCTTATATGAAATATTTCTGTGTTGGTTCAAATATCAGACAGTTGGAATTAGGGTTAGGGTTTTTCCCTTCTGATCCGATCCCGGCCTATCAGAGCCTGTACTAAAGTCTAAAGTTATTTATCTACTTACTTAGTTGTCAGACTCATGTTGAACAGGGATTTACTCTGATAACAACTTAATGGTTAGGACACAGACCTGTGGGTTACAGATGCTAATGCTAATGCTCTGATAACAACTTAATGGTTAGGACACAGACCTGTGGGTTACAGATGCTAATGCTAATGCTAATGCTCTGATAACAACTTAATGGTTAGGACACAGACCTGTGGTTACAGATGCTAATGCTAATGCTAATGCTCTGATAACAACTTAATGGTTAGGACACAGGCCTGTGGTTACAGATGCTAATGCTAATGCTCTGATAACTTAATGGTTAGGACACAGACCTGTGGTTACAGATGCTAATGCTA